TCTAGGTTTTTAGAATTGGAGACTCTGGTTGGTAAAATACAGTAAGTCAGCAGGAACTTAGAAATTAAATTATCATAAGTCAATCAAGAGTCTGTACAAAGAAATTAATTCAGTGAGGCATTGCATTCAGGTAGGATGGGTGGAGTGTTGGGTTAAAGGAAGTTGGTCCATCTGAGTTGTGCCTTCCGAATACTTCATGCCTAATTTAATTCAAACTTAAATTTAAAATTTAGTTCTTCAGTAACACTAGCTACATTGCAGGCGCTTTATAGTCATGTTAGCTAACTGCTGCTGTATTGAACAGTATAGATAGGGATATTTTTCATCATGCAGAAAATATTATATCACAAAAGGTATGGGATCTAGAATCCTGGAAGCATATATAAAGGAACAGAAACTCAAGCTAGGCAACAAAAGAATGAAGAAAGACTTAGGTAGTGAGGTTGGGCAATGTGAATCTGGAAAAGGAGTTTATTTTGAATATTCAAAATTTGAGTATTCACACTTTGAATTCAAAGTTTGAGTATTCAAAGGAGTTTTGAGCAAAGTGACACAGCTGAAAGAAGGCATTTATTATTCTGTTAAAGACTTGTGGAATCCCTGTAAGAAATTGTTTAAGAATAAATAACAATGTAAATTAGTATCTGTGTTAAATTGTGTTCTGTATCCCTTTATGTGATAAATGGTTTTGGAAAGTGGGGGGCTATTGAAAAGATCTTATTGGACAAGAGTAACTAGTCCATGAAGCATTTTCTCCTTGATTGTATACGACAGTGGTTAGAATCCTGAATGCCTGTCCTCTGTTTCTCATTTCACTGCCCCTTCATACTTCATACTTTTAAGGTATAAAAGTATGCATCTTGATAACAGTAGTCACACAGCTACACTGCTTAGGTATATTTTAATACCTCTTTTGATTCATCAAGAAAATAGGATGAAAGGCAAACAACAAGTATATTCAAACTGAATCAAAGAAAAATAAAATCTTGAATTTAATTATGTTGAATAATTCCTTAAGCAAATGTGACTCAGATTGTAGGTATAATGTGTATTGGAAATACTTGAAGCATGTATATGAATACAATTCCAAATACTAGAACGTTCTTATAACACAGAACCGTTTTGGTTAGACGATTTTAATAGCAGCTTACTTATACTTTTGGTGAGATGGTGAGCTAATGATGTAGCTGTTAATTTGAATTTAGCAGACATTTTAAATATAGGTTTCTCTTACAGAGACAAAAGTTGCAATTTAAAGCTCTTTGGTGGTCTAAAAACAGCTTAATTCTGTAGTAGCATGGTAATAAGTACTAATCCAGCTTATACAGTGATTGTAGTATGTCATGTTTGTGAAAGATTGCCCAACTGCTTTCTCTGGGTTTTATGTTAATTTAAAAATATTACACATAAAACCTTATAACATCTTCATGCTGAGATAAACTGTTCAATTTAACTTGTGCTCAAGCAGCAGCTGTCAGGAATTATCTTGTTCCTAGTGGTTTTTGCTATCACCTTGTGCCCTTCCTGCCAGAGACACAGTGTGGGATGATAAAGCTCACCTTGTTAGGATTTATTGCTTAAATAATACCTGAGGCAAGATGAACCCTGGGAACCTAGGGTTTAACTGCTGATTGAGTGATGTCATTCATTGTGTTATTGTACCTTTTCTTTTTAATTGTTAAAAGAGGGCAAAGTAAATTGCCTATGAATCTTACCTGCATATTTTTTTTTGTGTGTGAGCATCTTCCTCACTTTATAGGTATCACTGAGCTGAATATTTGAGGAGTTGCTTATTGTCCAATTTAACTACCATTTTACAAGCAAAAAGCAAAGAGAAATCTTTTACTTATGTTGGAGATAATTTCCACAATTTAGAAGTAGTGAGGGCTATTTCAAAATTAGTTATAAAAATAAAATGAGTTTCTTACTAATGACTGAACAAACTGAAGGAAGTGTTGGTGTGGGCAGTCCCAAATGGGTAATATTATGAAAACCATTGCCATTTCCCTCCTGAATGTATTGCATCCTTTCATTTGAGAACTTCTATTTGGAAGGTTCAATTTTAAATTTGGATTCCTTGATTATGGATCAGCTGGTAGGTAGGGTAAATAGAGGTGGTGTGGTAGAGGAGAGTAAATGCCTTGCTTTAGTCAAACATTTGCTACAGATGTTCCACCCTGAGGATAATTCCCATGGAGCAAATGAACAATTGGATTATTACTAGAAATACATATATGAGGCATTTATTATTTATGGAATGTAACATATTTTTCCCTTCTACTTACTGCCATCTAATGCATATCCTCCCAAATTTGTAGTTTTATAAATGTATAACTTAAAAATTGGCAACGGTAGATCAATGAGTTACAATATACCATTTATTTAATCAATTATAAACATTTCTATGAATATTTGAATATTTGTTATTAGGGACCTTTTGACCAAACCATTTAAGAATTAGTTGCAGACATTATGATACTTCACATGTAAATAATTCAACATGTCTCCTAAGAACGATGATATTCTCCTGTATAACAGCAGTGAAATTACTACACTTCAATTTAAGATTGATAAAACTTTACAATTTTGTATTCAACCCAATACTCAGAGTTTCCCTGTTGTCCTTATATCTTTTATAGTTGTTTTTTTCCCCATTCAGTATCCCATCAAGGATCACACTCTGCATTTTGTTTGGGGATCTCTTTATTCCCCTTTACTCTAGATTTTCTTTTTCCTTTTATGACCTTGACATTCTTGAAGATCCAGCCCCATTTATTTTGCAGACTGGCTGGCTGTTTCCTCATGACCAAATTCAGATTAAATATTTGGGGCAGGAATTGGCTATCTCTGTCTTTCTATCATGTATTGGGAAATACATGATATCCCTTTGATCCACCATTGTTCACATTAAGTTTGATCACTTGGTAAGTTGATGTCTACCAAATTTCTCCATTAATTAATGGAAGTTACTTCTCCATGTAATTAATAGATGGAAGCTGTAGTTAATGGATTTTTCTTCCTTGTGTGTGAATGCATCATGTTTGCTTAGGTCTGAATGATTGAGTCATTGCTTGCAATAGTGTCTATGTTGAGGGTGGGAGCAGGAAAAGAGGGAGGAGGAAATATTACTCAATAACTTGCTCTACCAATCACCATCTATTTTTTTTTTAAGGAAAATATTGATTGAGATTAAATTTTATTTTTCTTTCTGCTAAAGGTCAGATTTGTAGATAAGCAAATATCTGTATTTCAGAATTTTCAGTCTCTATTTTATTTTTATTTTTTGGCCCCACCATGTACATGCAGGATCTTAGTTCCCTGACTGGGAACCGAACTCATTCCCCTTGCATTGGGTACATAGTCTTAACCACTGGATCATCAGGGAAGTCCCCAGTCCCAGTTTTAGAAAAGTTTATACTTGATGGTGTAGGGAATATTTTTGGACAAAATAGAGGACATTTTCAGGATATAAATTTTCTGTTTGCTTTAGTTGAATACAAATGGACAATTAAAAATGCATCTTCTTGATAAGAGTTTTTACTTTAAAGCAATAAATCATAGCATTAATACAGCAATGTGAGTTTAGAAATGCCTCTACTTTTGGGTCTTCTGTTCCTCTTTTAGTCCATGAAGAAGACACTTGAATTCCCATTTATGCTATATGCTCTTGTTATGTAATTATTCTTCTTATGTGAAAGGCTAGTGCTGCAGATCATATAAACACCTGAAGTTAGCCATTTGGCTTGTCAGCAAGGGAGAATTTATAGTAGTTGTAATCATGGTAATAACAAGGATGCTATTTTGTATTTATTAAGTACAATAAAAAGCATCTGCAATGTAAGTGGTGCACAACGAATTCACATCCGTAGCATAATGAACAGTACTTTGGGCTTAGAATACCAGGAGTCTCTGCTTTGCCACTTTATACCAGTGTGATTTCTAGGAAAAACTCTTAACCTTCTTGAATCTCATTTTTTCAGAATGGGAATTAAAGCTGTAAGGGTTAAATGATTCTATATTATGTTATAAAGGTGGCATTTCATCAGAATTGTGCCATCTAAATGTCCCCAGCTACTCAAGGACTGTAATTTGTCCCTCTTTTGTGTCCACATGTGTTAGCCACCTTGTTAGTGAAATATTTCCAGGTTGTCCCATACAGTTGTCTGTTTGTCCTCTAGTATTTTGTTCATGTCACTATTACAGACAGCATTCATTCTGAGGGCTGTCTTGTTCACCCTTTTAGACATTTATAATAAATGTTTGTGGAATGAATGAGTAAACAGACACTATTTCATTTATAAACATGGGTATGTAGACATTCAGTTTCCTTTTTTCCCCCACAAAGACAAGGAACCAGCCTTTCTTCATTTTTTAAATTTAGGTTTTATATAAGGGATATTACAAGCTATACATCTGGTGCCATTAGCAGTCCAGTAATCGAGAAGAAAATATAAAACCAACCCCACAGATACTGCAGAATATTTAAAAGGGGGGCAGTGAAAAACATGCCAAGAGAAAAAGCCCTCCCTCACTAGATAAGTCTGTTGCATAAATCAAAAGGGTTTATGTCATAACACGAACATGTGCCATTCCTGCTCATATATTGAATTTCAGTAGTTGGTTGCATAAAGAAGTAAAGTGTAATGAAACTGGCAAGCAAAGTATTCCCCAGTCAGCCTTATCTTTGTTCCATTTGTCCTTCAGATAGAGCTTTTCTTGCCTTTTTCAATAAAATCCATCCAGCTTTTTTTTTTTTTTTTTGCATCTCTCAGTAACTGAGCTGAGAAAACCAATGAGATTCAGGGCTTTTATAGTTCTTAGCAGCTGCTTTTTAAGAGATCAAAACTTAGAATGCTGCTACATGGTATTAGGCTTAACTCTTGATGTGTCCCTGTGGGGGATATGTTTTCCTTGGGGTAGGATGAGTAGAGAGGAGAGAAGGTGAAGAATGCCCCTTCAAGTGTGCTCAGGATGGTAACCCTGATTTCCTTCTTTCCTAGGATCCTCTTTGCAAGCTCAGTGCTTAACCTGACTGAACTGGCTGCCCTTCGACCTGACCTTGGGAAATTGAAAAAGATTCTGTACTTCCATGAGAACCAATTGGTGTATCCTGTCAAGAAATGTCAGGAGAGGGATTTCCAATATGGATACAACCAAATTCTCTCCTGGTAGGTATAGATTGTACCACTGTATTTAGTCCTTTGCCATCTTTTTCCTTATAGTTAACTTTTAAATCTAGAGACCTATGGTATACATATTTTTAAAATACCTTATATTAGGAGCAAATGTTTAAATATACCTTCCATGGTAAGAATTACTTGTGCCTCTGCAATATATATATACACACATATAAGAGAACAGCTAATGTTTTTTATAAAATACATATGTGTAGCAACCTGATTATATGTTGAACTAGTTATTTAACTGTATTTTCTACAACACTCAAAATAGAAGCAAAGGGCTGTCAGGGACCTCCTTCAGCCCCTTATTCCATCATCTGTTGTGTGAGACATACTTTTAGAAAAGGCAGTTATTCAACTTTTATTTACCAGCTACTTTCAATATATCTAGCCAAAATCAAAATAGAAATGTACAGAGGAGTAAACAAAAATTAAAGCATAACAGAGCAAGAGGTTTTTGTCCTTTTATTCTTATTGTTTGTAAGAAAACTATGGAAAATGAATCTTTAGGTGATGTTTGGTTTTGTTTTTTTTCCTCCTCATTGAATCTTCTGAAATTGCCTAGCCTTAAAATACCATGGCATTTCAAAGGTGATGGTCCTTCTCTTTTGTTACTTCAACAAAGTGTATCTCTTGAAACTTAGTTAATGAAAGAAGTTAATAATGACTCTGAAGCAGCTTTGCTATTGGATCCCATCGACATAACTGCAACACTCAAATGGAGTCAGTTTGGCAGTGATTGGGTACAGTTTACTCACCATTTTTAACAGTTATTAGCCTTTGGGGTTCATGATGTGCTTAAACAGACACCCAGCTCTTTTGCTAGTGTATTCCGTAGTTTCGTTGACATAGAAAAACAGCTAGCTGGTAATACTTCTGTGTTTTGAGCATTTTGTAAATGTTTTCCTGCAATCATTTTTACAAGCTGCTTCAATTGTGAAGTAGCAGTGCTATCAAAATAGAGTGGAGCTGCTTCCCGTCAAATGTCTCGTAAAAAAAAGCAACCGTTTTTAAATTTCATAATAAAATTAAAATACTTTATTTTATATTGAAACAGAGAGGGAAAATATGTTTTAAAAACAAAAATGAAATCATTTTGTACTTTATCAATATGGAAAACATTTGTAATATTCTTTTGGTTTCTTGAATTAGCATCATTCTTTTCCTCAGATAGTGTGTGTTTATTACCCCTGAGAAATAACTGGGGAAAAAAATTAAGTCTGTTTTTCCCTTTATGGATGGCTTTAAAGTTAATGGAAGTTACACCCACTCATATTAGAGAGGAAATGCATGAAAAAGAATATTTCTGTAAACTATCTTGGTTCTTTAATTTGGCAAAGACTGGGTTTTTAAGAATATATGTAGTTGAGTTGCATGCCCTTTGAGGGCAAATAGCAAAAAAAAAAAAAAATTTAACTCACTACCCTGCATCTCTCTGTTTTAGAAAAGATTGTTTTTGCTCAAAGGGAGTGAGACCATAAAATCTTATACATGATTTTTGAGCATTGCTCTTCTCAAGAGGGTAAACTGGTAGATGAACTTGGAGAGAAAGAAATGGACTTGATCGTCGCTGGGACTCTTAATGAGAAAGCAATGGTTTGCAGTCGTCCAGAGGAAAAATAAGAGTGTCAGAAAGCAGTCCAGTTCAGATTCTCTTTGAAAAGTATGACTCCAGCTTCCTGAAATGTTTCTTTAGTTTTCTTGCTGACTTCTGCTTTTGTTGGCCCTGTCAGATTTCTTTCTTGACTGTGTGGCAGTTAAGGACTTCAGAGATGACTGACATAAGCACTCACCTTAAATAGAGGTTTCACTAACCCTCTGACTGATGAACACTTGTCGTAACTATATATTATGACCTGTGGATCGCTATTACAATATGTGACATATAGTGAAAACAGACCAGCTGTAAAACATCCTTCAACTTTTGGTATATTATTATATTGGCTTCCTTATTGCTCAGTGTAGTCAGCACTTCTGTGACATTCTCTTGTATTATCCATGTTGTAATCACTGCTAACCCCAAATTTGCACTAGGTTGCAACTAAAAAAAACAAAAAACGCTTGTATGGGAAAACAATTTTGCAGGGGTGGGAGTGGTTAGGGGTGGCTGGTCAACATTCCTTTTGTTGGTTTTTCATTCCTCTATGTACTGATAGTAGGAATTTTGTCTCAGTAAATGCAAATTAAACTAAACTTAGGATTTGTTATGATATTCCTGCTCTGTAAACTCTATTTATTCATTTGTGTTTTGCAGTCTTGTGGACTTACGTGTCTTCTTTTCAGTTTTCTTGATGTTCATTTTAGAGTGAAATAAAACTGTTTTCTCTTTGATCTTGTACACCTTCTTATCAAAGCATTTGTATGCGTCATGTTGAGATCCAGGGACACTGAGACATGGGATCATTGCTTAAAGCAGTGAGGGCTATTTTAAAAAACAAAACAGTGATTTATTAAAATGGTTTTTTGAGTCATAAAGGAAACATAGTATGTATTTCTGTTTTATCCAGTTCACCCGTGGTTATCATTTGTGTTCATTGGTTTCCAAAACAATGTTATACGCAAATTTGGAAACTACTGACATATTTATGATACATAAATTTTGTTTTTACATTTCCTTATAACTATATAGATTATTTTTAATTTAAAAAAAGTGTTAAGGAGAGGATTACAGCATTTATATCGAAAGCAACAGCCAGTATTATATTTCTTTTGTTTAATTTTGAAGGTTCATGGTGTTATGGTCCTTTATAATATGTTATGTAATCAGTAGGACCTAGTGGTACAGATTTCTGGATCTATTTTCATCAGTTTCCTCTATTGCTCTGACTCCCTCAAGTCTAATATAATAATAGAATAAGTTACTTGTAGAGTTCTTATATAATCCTTTCTGTGTATGTAGTCTCAGCACTTTCAAAAACCTAACAGTTTCTTGAAACAAAGGTTAAAATGAGAGAAAGACTTTAATCACATATTATGAAGGTGTGCTCTAGTGTGAAATAACATTTTCTGGATTAGTCTCCTTAAAGGCAGTGAAAAGTATGCTAAATTTTTTGTTCTCCATACTGTGGTGTAAATCAAAGTACATCACTGACATAAAAACTCAACATGGGTAACTGGGCCACAGAGAGAAAGGTTCTCATGTTCTTGGTGATACTACAGAAAATTCCTGGCATTGCAGAAAAATATACTTAGGTTTGATGCCTCATAAGTGAGAGTGTTAGTGGCTCAGGCATGTCCGATTCTTTGCAAACCCATGGTATGTAGCCTGCCAGGCTCCTCCGTCCATGGAATTCTCAAGGCAAGAATACTGGAGTGGATAAACCATTCTCTTCTCCAGGGATCTTCCTGGATCAAACCCAGGTCTCCTACACTGCAGGCAGATTCTTTACTGTCTAAGGAACCAGAAGAGCCCTGAAGCCTCATAGAATCCTGTTAAATCACTGAATTCCTCTCCTGCCTTTCCTCTCTGAGGCCAGCCATCTAACTTCCCTTGATATAAGGCTAATGAAAGTAACTTATCTGTTAGGATCATTTTGATAAAAACTGGGAAGTGAAGAGTTCTTTGCAAACCCAAGGTTCAGCAAAAACAGTGATTAATAAAGAAGTCTTTAAGCTTTTTTATAAAAGAAGTTATAAAAAGAACTGAACGAATGTGGGCTCATCGTATGCATTTATCCTTTCCGTTTGCAGCCTGGTGGCTGATGTGGTGGTATTCAACTCAGTTTTTAATATGGAGTCATTTCTCACTTCTATTGGAAAATTCATGAAGTTGATTCCTGATCACAGACCCAAGGATCTGGAAAGCATCATCAGACCCAAGTGCCAAGTTATTTACTTTCCCATCAGGTTTCCTGACGTGAGCAGGTCAGTGTGACTCTATTTTCAATATTGTGCCATAAATTATTCCCCAAATGTATAAAAATAGGTGCTATTCTTGCCAGTTTTAGCTTTTTCACATAAGCATGGTTAGAGAATTGAGTACTATTTCACCTCGCTGTGATTTATAAATCATGTGTCCAACCTATCATTGAATGGTTAATTCTGAGTTCTTCCTTTCTTTTCTCTTATATTTGTTTGCCAAAGAAACGTGCTTTGACTTTTAACACTGACTGTTGTTTCTTCATTTGTTGTTTTGATACAGAAGTCATCGTCAAGCACGTCTCAACCTTTTGTTCAGCTTATTCCCAGTGGTTTATATGTATAATAGTAACTACTAAGTAAGTCAGTGTTAAATTTTACTGCTTAGATTACTTTCATTTCCCATGCTGTTTGTTCTATTTTTTGCTTCTCCCGTTTTTTATTATTTACATTATTTTAGTAAAGAATTTGGTATTTTATATTGGGTTGAAATGCGTTTAATTGCTATTTCTTTTTCTCAGTCACTAAGGATATTTTTATTACCCTTATCACTGGGCCCACCCTGAATTAGCAATGGATGATGTGGCTCAAAGGGAACATTCTAGAATTTCTTTTCACTTTTGATTAAACCTAGCAAAATTGTTTTTACTGCCACCAGGAATATATCCCCCTTGTGAATAGAAACTTTACTTCAGTCGGACTCACACTAGCTGGGGATGCTGCTGTTTTGTAACTGACTGTGTCCTTAAAAAAATGCTCAGGGACAGCTGTTTCTTCCCCATCCTTGAAGTGAAGGCAGGAAACAGTTTATTGTCCATGCCTGCGGTGTAGGAGGTCAGCATTAGTGTCTGTGTTCTGGACACAGTGCACCCAGATTTTGCTGTGCGGACACCCACTCTTCCGCACCCCTAGTACTGATTTATTTGTCTTGCTACTTAATATTGCACTGAAGAAAATTCTGCCTAATACCAAATCAAGCTATGAGTCATAAAGTTTGTTAGACCACCTTGCCTAATCCTGATTTTCTGGAGTTCAGAAAACAGAAGGCCAGAGAAGCAGACCGGCTGTACTTTGTTGATTACTGTCAGAGACTTTGATTCAATTTTCTGTTTAGTTTCTAATCTTCCTATTAGTACAGGTCATTTGTCAAAAATATTTAATGATCTGTTTACATTTTTGAAAACTATAAAGCTAAGTGAAACTAAGATCACAGTTGATTTCTGTATGTATGTACATGTATATATATATGATATGTATTTGTAATCCATAATGTTCATGTGTGATGAAAGAATGTCAACTTCTAAAAAATACAATGGTTATGCTTTAGCTCTGTAATTAGCTAGAATATAGCTTATACTTTGGGTCATATTTTTTAACTTTATTTTTGACATTCTTTTAAGTTTTTCATATAATAATATATCATTAAAATGTACATCTTTAAGTGAATAGGTAGTTGTAGTACATCTTAATTTTTATTTCTATAGAATTTCAAATAAATAATGTTTTTAAAATTCATTTGCATCTGATATAGTCCTACAACATCCTGTGTTTAATACACCTGTGGCAGTTGAATAGTTTATTAATTTGGACAGTATTACCATAAATAAGTCTAGCTAAATGGAAGAAGGTTAAGAAATATTGTGGCCAAGATAACATTCATAAGCAAGGTCTTAGCCCAGAGTGTTATTTGAATTATTTTCAAATGGTAATTTGCTTTATCCAACCCAAACTCATATAGTGTAAGTAAGTGATTATTTGCATGAATGACAATCATTCTAATGCCTGCAGTCTTAAAAAGAGTATTATTTTGTTGAGATGTTGAAAAATATTTAGTAATGCCAAAGGCAAATAACCAAGGTGATTAAAAATAAAACAACTTTTGAATGCTTCTACTTTCGCTCTATGCAAATGTTATACTCATGGCAAGGATATATTTAATTTATAAACAAAGCAGAATATATACTTAAATGATTAATATAATGTGCTATAATAATATATAATATAAGGGGTAATAATCAGGGAAGGGAAAAAACCATATTTCAGCAAAGTATATGAGGACTTCTAAAGTTGATAATTATTCAAACTCAGAACATTCAACATTGAGCTTGAAATCCAATATTGAGCTTATAGTATGTGCTGTTACCTGTTGCCTTCCTTACCCTTACCTCATCCTCAAAGGCCAGAAAAATAGTAGCAAGGAAGAATATTCACTTGAAAATATTTCATTATATGTATTAAAACATTTTGGGAAGAGAAAGCTCTTAAATACCATAGTTAGGCATGCACGTATTTGAGACTTGACCACCCCTGGTGGCTCAGAGAGTAAAGAATCTGCCTGTAATGCAGGAGACCTGGGTTCATTCCGTGGGTCAGGAAGATACCCTAGAGAAGGAAATGGCAGCCTACTCCACTGTTTTTGCCTGGGAAATCCCATGGACAGAGGAACCTGGAGGACTGCAGTCTGTGGGTTCAACAAAGAGCTGAACACAACTGAGCAACTCACACTTTGACTTTCACTACTAGCTCTGTAACCCATGCAAATGTAACGACCTTGAGTTTAGCTTATGATTATATTTACCTTATCACCTCATAGGCATGATGTAGCAATTAAATGAAATAATATGTGCCAGACATCCAGCCTGGCACATAACAGAACCTTAATAAAGATTGTGTGGGATGTGGCTCAGACGCTCAGTAGTATCTGACTCTTTGCAACCCTATGGACTGTGGCCTGCCTCCGTGGACCTCTGTCCACGGGATTCTCCCAGCAAGAAGACTGGAGTGGGGTGCCTTTTCCCCTCCAGGGCATCTTCACGACCCAGGGATCAAACCCATGTCTCTTCGGTCTCTTGCATTAGCAGGCAGATACTTTACCATTAGCGCCACCTGGGAAGCCCTTAATAAAGATTAATTCATCTTATTAACTCCTTCATCCCTGTTGTTTTATAACCTAGCACCTTTATTGCAACCTGAATAAAGAGGACTGTCTTCCCTTTCTCCTTCTTTTAACATGTGATAGCAGAGAAGTATTCTGCCAAAGGAACAGTCTAATGTAAATAAAGAAATTCCTTTGTATATTCTTATCACCCTGATTTAAGCAGCCTTTTGTCCTTACCAGAACCAACTGTCCACTGATGGTAAGGAACCAGCTCATCACTTTCATTCTTCTCGTCCTAATTTTGCTCCTTCTTTTTCCAGTTGAACTTCCATATTCTATCACTGTACCTCCTTTCTTGTGTATACTTTCAAAACTTTTGCTCCTTTTCTTTTTTCTTTGATTAGGAGGAAAACCTCCAGCCATATTTACTAGCCCACTCTAAATTCATGACCCCTAAATCTAGATGGACACTTCAAGCTGGATGGCGAGTATACCATGCTTCCCCTCTTATAGATAACTATTCATACATTTTCCTTTTTAATACCAAATTAATAAGCTTTTAATACCAAATCTTCAGACTTCCTTCTCAGATAATGACTGAAGAAAATAGAAGCAATCAGAAGAGAATATCTTTACATTGCCACCATCATATTTACCCAATTATGTGCTTCTGGGTGCATTTTTTTTTTTTTAAATCCTCACACCTATAACTGGATGGACTGACCTTGCTTCTGTCTAAGGTCCATCTTCACTTGTTTGCAGGAGTCCATCCTCCTTGCTTACCTAAAAATTACTTTTCTAGTAATTTTTTTTTTCTAGGAATTTTTTTTCTCTGATCTGCATCATCCATTTTCCTCTTTTCTGGATGGTTCCTATTAGCATACAAAAATGCTATTTGTTTTACATCTTAAAAACATTCTCTCTTGATTCCAGTTCTTCCTTTGCTACTGCCTCCTTTCTTTCTCTCTCTTAATAGCAAAACCTCTAAAAAATTTTTTTTCTCTCTCTTAATAGCAAAACGTCTTAAAAGAAACATTTTTTTTTTTTTTCCAATTTCATTCTCACTGTTCTCTCTTGAAGCTGCTCCACTGAAACTGTTTCTGTCAAGGTCACTGATGACTTCCGTGCATGTGGTCAGTTCTCAGTCCTCGTCTTATATCACACATCAGCAGCATGGGGCATACCGTGACGGTCTTCACGGTGGCTCCTAGGACACAGGTTCTGCTTCTCAGGCTTGTTGCTGGTTTCTCAATGTGACTCTGATCTTTAGCTTTGGACTGGCCTTTAGCACTTTTGAAACTTAAGGGATTAATGGAGGAAGAGCCCAGGATTGAAATGAGAAGAAAAGATTAGAGTCAGAAGGTCATCAACGAGAGAATTATCCTGTGGGACAAAGGGAAGAGAGTATTAAGGGGATGGCTTGGGCTTAAATGCATACTCAGTCATGTCCGACTGTTTGCAATCCCAATGGACTGTACCAGCCAGGCTCCTCTGTCCATGGGATTATCCTGTCAAGAATACCAGAGTGGATTGCCATTTCCTCTTCCAGGGGATTTTCCTGACCTAGGAATCGAACACACATCTACTATGTCTCCTGCCTTGGCAGGTGGATTCTTTACCACTGAGCCACCTGGGAATCCCTTTAAGGAGATGAGCGGTAGTTAATTCAGAGGAGTGAAATTAAATAAAGTGATGACTAAAGCTATCCTTGAATTTGACAATTAAAGGGACAGTGGTACCCCACCCTGCATTCTGTTAACTCACACAAAAAAAATTTCATAATTTTTTTGGTAGCCAGAGAAACAGACTTCAAGTCTAAATGAGATCTCTTTTTCTTTCTGTCTCCATGTCTCTCTCTCTCTCTCTCTCTCTCTCTCTCTCTCTCTGATTCAGGCCCTGCTTATTTTAAAAATGAAGGCACCAGGGCCCAGAGAAGTTTAGTGTCTTCTGGTAATGACACAGCTAGAGAGAGAGAGGAACTGGAACTGAAACTGGAAGTCCTGTCTCAAAATCTCCATCCAGTGTTCAGCCCATCACTTATTGTAAATGCAGTTTCAGAGGTCTTGATTATCTGATTTTTCAGCTGACAGCAGATTAACAGCATCAAATTGGGGGTGCGATAAAGGCA